AAATTACTGGTTTCGAAGGCTATAAATACAATTTTTGCCCAAATTACGTCATTTCCGGTGATATTGAAAATGTTAAATTGGTTTGACCTAGTTAAAATTGACATTACACATCAACTGGTGTCACTTTTATGAAAATCGAATAATCATTGACTCTTTTACAGGCAAACTAGCGTAAAAAGTGACTCATGCAAAATTGCCCATTTCTCGGCAACTGCGCATATTACAAATTAATTTTCACATACATTCTCTCCGTATAGATTATTGCTACGAGTTTATGAAAGTTACGAAGTAATATTTTAAAATATGAAAACGCTGGATGGGTTGTAAATAGCTTAATTTTACACCTTTTTTCACCTTTTAATCGAAATAGCCCGAAAACGGAATCGAAATTAAAAAAACTGGTCCCAACATTTTGTGCGCCTTTAAAGGGCGCACAATTTCAGTTATACCAGATTTGAAAAAAATAATATTTGCTTTCGAAAAATGGTACCTAACTGTCAAAATTGTAGTTTTTTGTCAATTTACGCCACTTCCGGTGCCGACAGATAACACTATTGGTAACAAAAAAAATGACAATTGAGACAACGGAGCATATGAACCTTGTTTTATACAAATCGAACAATAAATAATTAATATAGGACTGAAAAACTGAATTAGCCAATGGGGGCCAAGGAAAATTACTGGGACAAAAAATTTTCACATTTTTGCCCAAGTCAGAGGACTCGTTATATTTGCTTAAAACACGACTAAAAAATATTCATAAATAAAAAAGTTTTTTGTAAAAATTTAAATTTTCTAAATTTAGCGCCTAATATCTGCGAAGATTTGCCGAAAATCAAAAATCAAAAGTAGCGTAGCTATGTGCCCCGTCTCCGGCTATGCCAAAATGCATCGAAAGTTAAAATCCAATGATTATTGTTAAAATTACTGCAATATTTCTAAAAACGATAGCTTCGGTGATTTCGGACATTTCGCATTGTCGCAGAACGTTCAAAATAGCTTTATCCTCTAAGTCACACCCACTTTTCCGATAAAACCGAAGAAATCGTAACGATCCGACAATCAGTTGCTGAGATCTACTCAAAACAAAAGAAGAATAATAATAATAAGAACTAGAACTGCGAAGCAGTAATGACGGGTTTCACCGGTGCCACGTTACCCTTGAACTTATGTCACTTCCGGTACCAATGAAACCGTTAAACAGGTTTCCACATAAGCATTGCACACATGAAATAAAATGGACGCAGAAACAACCAAATCCAGCAATCAATTCATTTGCTACATGTCAGTGATCCTGTCAAAATTACATTACTTCCGGTGATAATGAAAATGTTAAATTGGTTTATGAAATCAGAAATAGCATCATCACATGTTGAAAATTTTATGTAAATCCTATAATAATTGCCACCTTTATAGACCAAAAACCTTGAAAAATGACTTGTAGAAAATCGCCTATTTCTCTGCAACCGTACAAGTTAGAAACCATTTTGAGGTATCTGTATGATCGAATGAGTTCATTCTATTTGTTGATTGGAATCAAATATCATAATTTTAAAAACATTACAAATCTGATTCATTTGAATAAAATATCTGTTTTGAAGGCTAAAAATACAGTTTTTGCCAAAATGACGTTACTTCCGGTGATAATGAAAATCTTAAATTACTTGTATGATATCGTAAATGGCATTATGTATCACACAGTGAAAATTTCATGAAAATCGAATAATAATTGACACTTTTATTGACAAAAAAACCTTAAAAAGTGACCTGTTGAAAATTGCCTATTTCTCCGCAACTGAACAAGTTAGAAACCATTTTGTGATATCTATATGATCGTAAGGGTTCATTGTATTAGTTGATTTGAATCAAATATCAAAATTTTAAACAAATAACAAATATGACTCATTTGAATAAATTACTGGTTTCGAAGGCTATAAATACAATTTTTGCCCAAATTACGTCATTTCCGGTGATATTGAAAATGTTAAATTGGTTTGACCTAGTTAAAATTGACATTACACATCAAATGGTGTCACTTTTATGAAAATCGAATAATAATTGACTCTTTTACAGGCAAACTAGCGTAAAAAGTGACTCATGCAAAATTGCCCATTTCTCGGCAACTGCGCATATTACAAATTAATTTTCACATACATTCTCTCCGTATAGATTATTGCTACGAGTTTATGAAAGTTACGAAGTAATATTTTAAAATATGAAAACGCTGGATGGGTTGTAAATAGCTTAATTTTACACCTTTTTTCACCTTTTAATCGAAATAGCCCGAAAACGGAATCGAAATTAAAAAAAATGGTCCCAACATTTTGTGCGCCTTTAAAGGGCGCACAATTTCAGTTATACCAGATTTGAAAAAAATAATATTTGCTTTCGAAAAATGGTACCTAACTGTCAAAATTGTAGTTTTTTGTCAATTTACGCCACTTCCGGTGCCGACAGATAACACTATTGGTAACAAAAAAAATGACAATTGAGACAACGGGGCATATGAACTTTGTTTTATACAAATCGAACAATAAATAATTAATCTAGGACTGAAAAACTGAATTAGCCAATGGGGGCCAAGGAAAATTACCGAGACAAAAAATTTTCACATTTTTGCCCAAGTCAGAGGACTCGTTATATTTGTGTAAAACACGATTAAAAAATATTCATAAATAAAAAAGTTTTTTGTAAAAATTTAAATTTTCTAAATTTAGCGCCTAATATCTGCGAAGATTTGCCGAAAATCAAAAATCAAAAGTAGCGTAGCTATGTGCCCCGTCTCCGGCTATGCCAAAATGCATCGAAAGTTAAAATCCAATGATTATTGTTAAAATTACTGCAATATTTCTAAAAACGATAGCTTCGGTGATTTCGGACATTTCGCATTGTCGCAGAACGTTCAAAATAGCTTTATCCTCTAAGTCACACCCACTTTTCCGATAAAACCGAAGAAATCGTAACGATCCGACAATCAGTTGCTGAGATCTACTCAAAACAAAAGAAGAATAATAATAATAAGAACTAGAACTGCGAAGCAGTAATGACGGGTTTCACCGGTGCCACGTTACCCTTGAACTTATGTCACTTCCGGTACCAATGAAACCGTTAAACAGGTTTCCACATAAGCATTGCACACATGAAATAAAATGGACGCAGAAACAACCAAATCCAGCAATCAATTCATTTGCTACATGTCAGTGATCCTGTCAAAATTACATTACTTCCGGTGATAATGAAAATGTTAAATTGGTTTATGAAATCAGAAATAGCATCATCACATGGTGAAAATTTTATGTAAATCCTATAATAATTGCCACCTTTATAGACCAAAAACCTTGAAAAATGACTTGTAGAAAATCGCCTATTTCTCTGCAACCGTACAAGTTAGAAACCATTTTGAGGTATCTGTATGATCGAATGAGTTCATTCTATTTGTTGATTGGAATCAAATATCATAATTTTAAAAACATTACAAATCTGATTCAGTTGAATAAAATATATGTTTTGAAGGCTAAAAATACAGTTTTTGCCAAAATGACGTTACTTCCGGTGATAATGAAAATCTTAAATTACTTGTATGAAATCGTAAATGGCATTATGTATCACACAGTGAAAATTTCATGAAAATCGAATAATAATTGACACTTTTATTGACAAAAAACCTTAAAAAGTGACCTGTTGAAAATTGCCTATTTCTCCGCAACTGAACAAGTTAGAAACTATTTTGTGATATCTATATGATCGTAAGGGTTCATTGTATTAGTTGATTTGAATCAAATATCAAAATTTTAAACAAATAACAAATATGACTCATTTGAATAAATTACTGGTTTCGAAGGCTATAAATACAATTTTTGCCCAAATTACGTCATTTCCGGTGATATTGAAAATGTTAAATTGGTTTGACCTAGTTAAAATTGACATTACACATCAAATGGTGTCACTTTTATGAAAATCGAATAATAATTGACTCTTTTACAGGCAAACTAGCGTAAAACGTGACTCATGCATAATTGCCCATTTCTCGGCAACTGCGCATATAACAAATTAATTTTCAAATACATTCTCTCCGTATAGATTATTGCTAGGAGTTTATGAAAGTTACGAAGTAATATTTTAAAATATGAAAACGCTGGATGGGTTGTAAATAGCTTAATTTTACACCTTTTTTCACCTTTTAATCGAAATAGCCCGAAAACGGAATCGAAATTAAAAAAACTGGTCCCAACATTTTGTACGCCTTTAAAGGGCGCACAATTTCAGTTATACCAGATTTGAAAAAAATAATATTTGCTTTCGAAAAATGGTACCTAACTGTCAAAATTGTAGTTTTTTGTCAATTTACGCCACTTCCGGTGCCGACAGATAACACTATTGGTAACAAAAAAAAAGACAATTGAGACAACGGAGCATATGAACTTTGTTTTATACAAATTGAACAATAAATAATTAATCTAGGACTGAAAAACTGAATTAGCAAATGGGGGCCAAGGAAAATTACCGAGACAAATTTTTTTCACATTTTTGCCCAAGTCAGAGGACTCGTTATATTTGTGTAAAACACGACTAAAAAATATTCATAAATAAAAAAGTTTTTTGTAAAAATTTAAATTTTCTAAATTTAGCGCCTAATATCTGCGAAGATTTGCCGAAAATCAAAAATCAAAAGTAGCGTAGCTATGTGCCCCGTCTCCGGCTATGCCAAAATGCATCGAAAGTTAAAATCCAATGATTATTGTTAAAATTACTGCAATATTTCTAAAAACGATAGCTTCGGTGATTTCGGACATTTCGCATTGTCGCAGAACGTTCAAAATAGCTTTATCCTCTAAGTCACACCCACTTTTCCGATAAAACCGAAGAAATCGTAACGATCCGACAATCAGTTGCTGAGATCTACTCAAAACAAAAGAAGAATAATAATAATAAGAATAATAATTTTAACAAAAACAATAGTGTTTCACACAAGCTACGCAGTGTGAAACCCTAATTATTACCTGAATACATGGTTGTTCTATTACAGATGTTATAATCAAACATCAAAGTTGATGTATTTGTACACGTGTCTAAATATGTCGTCTGATTTTCACATGAGTTAGCGCTACCATCGTCTAACACATAGTTAAAATAACCCAGTAAATCAGCTGGCAGGGTTTGCATGTCCTCGGTTACTATCGAATCTGTAATATAGGGGTGAAACTTTTGTTGTGGTTATAATTATATATATATAAACTTTTTATTATGAAGAGAAGAGAGAAACACAAACACAAACGCAGAATAGCAATAAACATCAACCAAGTGCAAGTGGAATATCCAAAATGGAACTCATCAAAAATCAAGCTTAGAGCTTTTATCAAGATTTTATGCAAGAATCTTTACTACATTTTCACGAAAGACCTTTCGACAAGACTCAGCTTCATAATATTTATGGGACCAATGAGTGCTAAATGGTGAGAGAGGTCAAGCAGTATAAGGTCGTCCAGATACATACCATTTTTCAGTAAGATGCTGTAAGGTTGTGTATAGGGCGTTGTCTCATCACATACATTATTAACAGAGTCAACTACAGTAGATATAGGATAGATCTTCACTCTAGCATTATTAGCTTGTGGTAAAGGTTCTGTAAAAATAACAAATATACACGTTATATTATATATACGCTTCCAAACATACAATAAGTTTTATTATCACAGATTGTAGAAAGTCTGAGCAAAAGTTAAAAAGTCTCTCCCTACATGCTAAAAAGGAGGTGAGAGTAATATGTCCATTGTCCATTTGTACAGCACCTAATCCGCTAAACATACTCCACGTACACACGACACTGGTGTCTAATAATATAATTCAAACCTACGTTTTCAAGCCAGATTTGAGCCGAATGGGTGATAAACTTGTGGGGGGGGGGGGAGGGGGGGCGATGACGCTTGTTTTTTTCCACTTTGTAGAAAGAGTGGCCAGCAAAAAACTTTAATCTCGCTTATTGAATATATAAGGAAGAAGTATGGACGACGATTATATATGCTTATCTTATTCTCTAAATGATACTATCCTTACCAATTTACGGAGATGCTTATACTTCCTTCATCCTTCCCACCCACTCCCCCGTACATACCCCTACAATCCCCGCTATACCAACATACAAATTGGGTAGGTATACTTACGTGTGCCATAATAATAATAATATAGATTAGATGATACTTGATTTATATCTAAACACATATAGGCATAAAAATCACTACTAAATATTGTAAAGGCTGCTGATCTGGAAGATACATATTCAACAATAACTATTAAAATAAAATAACGGTAAGAGAAATAAAATGAAATGGGGTTTAACGCCGTAATGTTCTGCTCCAAATGGGCTTATAAAGAGGGTAAAGGCAAGGGGCGGGGATGCGTGGGAGGAGTGACGAAGATATGTCGAATGTGTGGTTGTTTTGTGGATATGATATGGCCTGTTGGAATTTCACTAATTATTAAATCTTAACCACATTAATAATTAACGATAAAAACTAATAGGGGAGTAGGAGTATTAAAGGAGGCAAGTCTCTAACTCAACTCACAGTCTTAGACATTGCAAACAAGACTTATTGGTCAATTTAAATCAACATTGATGTTGTTATCTAACCATGGAAAGATGGGCATCTAATATTCAATATTTAAGACAAAATGAAAATTTTAAAATTGGCACACGAATCACGTGCCAGAATGCTTTCGAGTGCCATTTGTAAAGAAGAGACTCGGTCAAGAACGCTAAACATACCCACAGGAGAATACTACCGGTGTAGACTAGAATAACGACACGCCAAAGACTGTCATTCAGTTTGTACTCTTCGCGTATTTCGCCGAACATAAATGATGAGAAATTACAGTAAAACAGAAACGATTGAATGTAAATATACATTCATATTACATTATTTTATGCGTTGCGACCCATTTGTGTCAATTTCTAGGTGCCAAAGAATACAGATTTAGCGCCTTTAACTTATGATTTGTTCTATCATGGACCTTATAATAAGGTCCATGGTTCTATTTATACGATGAAATACCAAAGGAGATTGCGAGAAATATTCACTATATTCTGGCATTTATCAAGACACGAAAATCAATTTTACTTACTTGCTGACATATTGTGTACCAGAATGTATGTGACATTCAAATTCTAATTCAGGAAAGGTTTGACTTTGTGTACTGATAGTAAATTTACCGTAAGTTGTGGTATTAAATTCTAGAGTTCCCTCCCTTGTACTATCAAATGTTCCTTCCAGACCAGGGGGAAACGTACAGCTAGCACTAACATCAGCTGTAAATAAAATAAACAGATAATATTAGTAACGTGTAAATAGACGTAAAGGCTCACGAGTCGATAGCAAAAGTCCGTACTCCGTTCTATTCGGCCACAGTGTGTTGTATTCACTTCAGTCGATACCGTTCAATGACAATTTGATCTGTTCCAATTAATTAGTTCTCCAAAATGCGGGGAGTTGGAGAGAGAGAGAGAGAGGGGGGGGGGGAGAGAGAGAGAGATGGTTCCATTTTATTTCAATAATTGGATTGCGCATAGAGGTCTTTAGCAGTGTGAGAAAACCGGACAACATGGGACCTTACTTCTTTTCACATACAGGTGGTGGAATAAAACTACATCACTTGACTCAATGACAGACCTTGTGATCTAACACGCACGCGTTAAAACCATTCGGCCATCCATCACCCTATTCCTTTAGACAAGTTACTCATGATTCGGCCACCCGATGTTTTTTATTTACCATTTGAAATATTTGTTTCAGGACAGATATGCATTGGCCACATCTGGGGCTGAGATCGATTAATAGGGGATATTTATGACAAGGATTTCAACTCCGGCTTTTCCAAATATAAGAAGAAAAATAATGTCACTATTAATATGCTATTTGATTTCCGCGGGTAAAAATAACACAAGGCGTCTCTGATATTTGAAATATTTAAACATGTGTCTCTTTCCACATAAATTGATAGTATGTTAGGTAATGTAAAGCAGTGATAATTATACGGTGACCGGAAAGCTGTCCTTTAATATTTATTCTTGTCTTCCTGTGACATATTAACATTTATATCATATATTATATAGACAGTTTTAATACCTATATATACTATATAATATATAATATATATATACCCGTGTCATAAATGTAGGTAGATAAATAGAGAACGCCATTCGCATTTCCGTTGAGTAGTCTGGTTGTAGATCTGGGAATTTACTTGATGGGTGCAAGTACAGGCTTGTTTATGAAATCGGCACTATTTGTCTAAAGTTTACAAATCTGAGCCAAATATTAAAAACGTTTATGTAAAAAACTGGCAATGTTGTGTAGATGCCGCACCTTAAGAATGAATAACCCAGGATCCACTTCCCCTGGCCATGTAAATTTTATAAAATTATAATTTTATTTAAGACAATTGGGATTCGCGGTGACTCAGCGTGTTAGACACTGGAAGACTAGTCTGGGGTTCAGGGGTTCGATTCCGGTGTTGGCCGAGAAAATTCCCCTGGATTTTCCAGGGTGTGTAGGGTGGGACGAAAAACGGCGGTTTTAGAACCTTAGCTGGGTAAATTGCAATTTAATGAAAATTATGTTATAAAGTAATTGTAAAAAAACAAAAAAACAAAAAAAAAAACAAAAAAAAATATATTAAACGATAATTAAAAATTATTGATCACAGTTTAGAATTATTGGAAAGGAAAAGAAGTAAAAAAGCTCGAAAAAGACTTTTAAAAAAAATAACGTTTGATTAAAATGTCTGATATTGATTTGAAAAATGAAAAAAATTTAATGAGAAGCAACCAAAAAATCGATAAATGTTTAAAAATATCGAAACATGAACTTCGTTATTTGGTCTAAGATTTGCAGCTCTTTCTTAGCAGTCGTGCTAAATTAGTTATCGAAGCAGTTTAATAGCATAACCATAACCCACGCCCTCATGAAGAAATTATTCCTGCTGTGGTGTTGCTGCTATTCTCTTTCATATTACACCATAGCAAAATAGAATGTTAAAACACATTGCCCGTCCATTACTTAATATTTCATATTTATCTTGAATTCAGTACTTATTACAATTTCTAAAACCATCAGAGAGTTCAAACATACTGTTATCCATAAATAACATTAACAAAAGCATGCAAAACTTACCTTTCAACGAAATAACGAAAAATAACAAAGTTAAACAACATCTACTTTCTCTCTCCATTTTGTTCTTGCGTGTATTTACTTTTTTCCAAAAGAGTTATCGTTCTTAGTGTGTTCTGTTACCAATGGTAATGGTAAAGAAATCTAAAAGAAATTTCAGGTTTTACATTAGATAAACACAGATCATTTCAAAACTGTTGGTTGCTGCTGTTATTAATTCACATAATGTTTATTCCGAGAACCGGCTATATAACACGAAGTTTCCCATCTTGACCGCATGATAGTAACAATCCAAATACAAAATACCAAAATACCATCAGCAATCTACGTCACATATCAACACTCCTCATTAAAGGCGGATTATCGTGTTAATAACACGGATTATCGTGCAACCAGGATTAAAGTTAATTACTCGCTGACTAACCTCTGCATTTTGATCAATTACACAAAAGATTTCGGTAATGATGTCCCTTTGAGGAGATCTATGACAGCATGTTTGTAAAAAAGATCTTGGCTCAAAACTTTGATTATGAAGTAATGTCTTAGTTCATTACCAAATCTATAAGAATAGATAGGGCATAATAACGCCCTATGTCTTATTCCTCTGTTAACACGAGTTGATATATCGAAATTTTAATTTTATTCCACAGTATATGCCATACTCTTTATTTAATATTGAAATTGCATAATTATCTGTTTTGGGTCCACTTCTTCGTTATCATTTTCTTTTCTTCAAATCCCCGAAATATGTTTTAAAAAAGTAACGACATACACGTTGAGTTCTTTCATCGATAGTGAATAATCACGATTGCTGAAACAATATTTGTACTGACACTTCTTCAATAAAAGATCCAAGACAATTCACATAATCCAAGCATAAGAAAAATTTTCTTTCGTAATTTGTAATATTGCTTGTTGAAAGAGTCTATTAATAACCAGAATATAAACCTTCTAATAAGGGCATATAGAAGAGATTAAGTGGATTATGCTAATCGAGTTAATCCAGATTAACTAACAAACAATTAAAACATGACTTCACTTTATTAGTGATCAGATCATCGCTAATTTCACGAAAGAAATGAATCAAACCCTCATTACTCTTTGGTCAATAAACTAGTGAATTTAAGTTGCTTTATGGACTGTATACCTATACTTGAGATACTATTTTATCAGCTCTCAAGACAATATCCCCGGTATAACTTGGTGATTACAACACTCGAGAAAATAGACTCCTGTTTAATAGGTCATTTATTTTCTTTTAAAATATAGAAAGTATTATTTAATATCGACTCTATCTACAAATATCTGGCACTACTCTGAGATAAAATGGCAATATCCATATATTCGTTTAACACGGCGAAGACCATGATTCATTATTAGGACCCTCATTGTTATGCGCGTTTTCAAATCAATTTTTGAAGACTGTCAAATAAAATGTCGAATATTGTGAAATAAAAAAAGAGATGACAAAACATTGAAATATGACATTTCGGAGAATTATTTATTAAACCAGGAGCAGATTGTTTGTTCCTAGTCAAATTCATTCTTTTAACTATTAAATAAAAACCTACAATAAATTTTGTTTATTTAACGTGGAAAATCTGCATAATTTGTTCTATCTATTGAGACATTCAATATGTGTACATACTAGTAGAATTAGATCTTCTATGTAAGCTGATTAACTTATTACACGTTTGTATTGTTTGATTCCGTTCACGTGTGCTATCACGTGGATTTCAATTGACACCGACAATGCAAACGGCGTTTCACCCAATGACTAAACAGTCCTCGTACCGGCCCTTGGGTTGTAGCGTAATAGTAATTAAATCATTTCAAAAGTTTCGCAACGATTTATCCCAAACAAATGACAATTTTAAAATGACAAACTGTTAAACTCGAGAAGAAAACATTTGAATTTTTTTTTAAAAAAACCGAAATAGTTAAATGCGATAAATATTTAACAATTGTAACAAAATTTCGAAAAATTAATAATTTGACAGCCACCTTCCCGTTTCGAAATACATCCCTAAATTGAGCGAATATTTAGAGACATTGACATTTCTATCCCGTCGATAATAAATCATACAATATCATAACTTGTTCTGTCATGTTTAGTAAACTCTACCCATACATTAATTCAGAAACAACAGAAATCTCCATTAGTTAATCATAATCCCCTTTCATGTCGATAATCCTTTTATACTTTAACCTAGTATGTTTGAGATTACGGATTTGCTGTTATGGTTTCAAACGAAGAGTCGAAGAGTAGAAATCTGACCGTTTTCTTCATTTTAAGGATTATTTCGATTTCGTTTGTCCAGGAGAAAGTATATACAGGAATACGCAAGATTTTCTAAGAACTCAAACACGGACCTAGGGATCCTGTGGACGTTCTGGGTACCTGATAATCGATTGATCGATTGCTCATAATTCGACATGTTGCCCGGATTGTTCTTTGTGTTCCTGTACACCCTTAGTCAAGGTAAGCTTCCATGGGGACGTCTATATTATAACATTGATAAAAACAGTCAGAAAGATTCAAAAATAAAAAAAATATACAATGACTCTTTAATATACGGGTCTTTGAATTTGAATTCACTATACAACTGACTTTAACAAAGGGCTGTAAATAAGCCGGATTTTTTGGGAGTAATTCTGAACAATGATCAAGATTTTGCACTTTCGATCGTCAACCCCTCAATCTCCTTAATATTATTACACCCAACTTATACCTAAATTTATTAGAAATCAAATTTCTCCCCGCTTCCACCTACGTCAATGGATTATTCCATTTTCGTTGCATATATATTTTTCTCAAAAGATGATTGTTCACTATAAATATATAATTATGTCATATTGCATTATCGAATGAAGTAAATAATCTTTATCATTTCAAATTTCTCTTATACTTAACATAGAAACCAAATTTCTGCTCACGTCCATCAACGTCAATTCGAATTTGAGTTACATGCTTAATTTGATCCGTTGTTGATTATATATATATATATATATATATATATATTTACTATTTTCAGCCAACGGTTGCACCTTTCCGTCAAATCTGGTGGGTACTTTTCTAGACAGTACTAAAGGTCTGGTAACGTTCAATTCAACTAATTTAGATGGCTATCCTATAGCTAATCTGGGTAATTTTCAATTTACATGTCACCAGTCATCATCCAGTCAGTATATTCTAAAGTAAGTATTTTATTTTTAATCATTTAAATATATAACATACATTTTTTTATCAGCAATTCAAGTCACCATATAATTTAGACATTTGGTACGACCACGTTTTCAGTTCTATTGTCTGGATGATCTGCCCACACCACATCCTGCTTACATTTTAAATTTTTACATCTAAACGCGAATAATATTCATGAATTGAAAGTGAGTAGCATACTCACAAATTAAATTATAGCCTGCCAACCACTATATGTTTTGTTATGCACATAACCATGTTTTTAAATGTTCGGTATAAATTATATAGATTTTTTTGTTTATTTTCAGATCGAATACTTTTAAATATTTTGATTTAACATGGAGAGCTTATTTGTGTTGGGATGTAACGGAAGTAGCCTCGGATCAATTTTATTATTATGCAAGATCAAGTAAGTTGTAATGCAACGAAAGTCGGTGAAATTTCCCGTACATTTTGGGGAAAAAGTGAATCGACTGAGCTAATGAAGACAGACGTACGCCATGCAGTGTGCTACGTCCTACTCTTAGTTCGACTTTCCAGTGTCAGGGGTTCATTTAAATGATGATATCGTCGAACTTTCTCGGCACACCGGGATCGAGGCACGAACCTCGTGGTTAGTGTTCCAGCGGCTTACTCACTGAGCTATGCGGTGGTTCCCAAAATGTTTTGGGTAGAAGTGTTTTAATTGTCCGGTGATTATGTTCTATATAATTAAAAAGAATGGGAAGTAACGTAATGTAACTTGGTTTGATATTTCTATTCCATAATTCAATGAATTGATACTGAAAATTTAGATATTAATGTTTAATCCAACTGATAATGCTTCTTTTAAGCAGACTTTCCATGATCGACCAACTATTTACCAAAATACGTCATTAGATTTCATTTTACCGTGTATGTTTCAGATCGTTTAAGTGATGCTGGTAATGAAAGAGTTAAGATGTATTTAGAAGGGTTTGCTATAGATGTCGCTGATATTTGTGCTTTATCAACTGGTGTAACTGGTACTTACAGATATCTCCTTAAAAATGGTAAGTGACTCGGCTTCTTAGTTTCGCACCGATCATTTCTTATCTGCTAGCCTTCGCGTGGTTAACTCCTAGCGAATTAACTCAACGACGAGGCGATATTAGGAACATTTGTCACCTATTCTTGGCATCGCGAGAGAGAGGAGTGGGGTTTAACATCCGCTCATTTCGGGTCTATCATATCGTTCACTGTTATTTCACACCGATCATTTCTTATCTGCTAAGAATTATTAGTGAGCAGAAATTCGCCCGTATATCCGTTATCACTCGCCACATGAGTCAGTTATATAGAGAGATGACTCCTGTTTTCCTTTGGCGTTCGTCACTTCCGATTCTGGAAAACTGTATTACTCAGCTATCGTAGCAATGATCTCTGTGTTAAAATTATATTTGGAATGTGTTTAACCAGCTCTATCACATATGTGATAATGACTGGCACCAATATTGTCCTTTAAGGAGGATGCTCGATGGTCAGTCCGGAACGTCTCCAATTGACATTTTTGCAATCGAATGTCGTGAAATTCAGTCCCGTCATAGTAGAACTGCCAATCCCCATAACAGAGGTGGTGTGAGTAGAATCGTGACGCAATTGATACAACGAAAATGTTTCAGGTGTCACGATTGGTTGAGATATTTTCTTACGCAGTCGACGCATGCGTTGTAGCCCGAATTCTATTCCGAAACGTTTAATCGAGTATCCCCAATATGACTTATGTACAATGTCTATCACCCCTTTATGCCAAAATCTTTTATAATTTTTACATGTGAGTATAATATATATTTTGCAGAGTCTATAAGCACAGCCAATATATCATGTCCATCTGCCTTACAGTCGTATTTTACGTATTCTGCCGACTTTGGTTCGAATGATACATGCAGTGGTAATACAACTCAATTTGATGGTTGTACATCTTCAACAGCATTATCGTATAATTATAGTGCTGGATGTTCTACTTTGATGTCCTATTCCAGTAAGTTGTTCTACGTTATTCTGGCCATTTGTTCAGTTAGTTTGTTTTATTATCCCCTTCTAGTAAACTCCACTTTAATAACTTGTTCCAGTAATTGTTCTACTTTCACAATTTGTTCCAATAATCTGTTCTACTTTAATATCTTCTTCCTTGGATACCGTATTCTAGTATTAGTATTTGATATCTGATTTAGTTTATTGTTCTACTTTAATCTCTTAATTTAGTAAGCCACTACACAATACTATTTCTATTGGAACCAATATCTAATTCTCGATGTAAATGATATATTTGTGAAACAGTTGTTATTATACAAAATATGCTCAATATAAATGTCATGTATATTTTCAGCTTCTGGTACTGTAAGCTGTTTATACAATTTAATAGCCAACAACTTGAATTACCTGACGTTAATAAATAAACAGTATACACCGGGAGAAAACGATACTTACTACTTTACTTGTATGGTAATGTATAATAATACTATAAAATACTACCACGATTCTATGAATGATACTATATATACTAATATCTATACTGCTATATCATACCACTTTTTTCGTTCGTTTCTGGACTTTTACGTCCACTTCCACCTAGGGTGATATCGTAGACAAATCATACCACTGAAAGATATTACTATAAATACTACTACACGATACTTATAGCAATGCTGCTATAAATACTACTAAAGATATTACTGTATAATACTACTATATATATATGAATATTAATATAGATACTGCTATATCACACTACTAAAGATATTACTATTCATACTACTAAAGATATTACTATTCATACTACTATAAATACTAACATGGATACTTCTATCAATGCTTCTACTACTATAGATAATACTATTATAAATACAAATTCTGCTGTATCATTCTACGGAATATATTACTATATAATACTACTTTATCATACTATAAATACTGCTATATAGTACTATAAATACTAGTATATGATACTACTCCTACTATCATACAACTACAATAAATATATAATTACATAATGTTCTATCTCCATTAAAAATCTATAATCTAGTTAGATTACCTAAAAATCTATAAATCTTCGTATATTGTCGATTGTATTGGGCATATATTTATTTGTTATAGGTAATCGACACATCCAGTACCTCAACTATTTACGCCACCCAGTATCCACAACAGTGTCAAGATAACCAAACTAGTACATACGTCCAAGCAGCTGGTGCAGCATTAATATTTACATACAATGGTAAAGTTATTTATGAGTTTTCTTTTTGTCCATGCAAAATTCAAAATACATATTTCCATAACCATATATACATTATTGGGTCCAAGAATCACAGAGTTATATTTCAGTTTTGACATAAACGAAAATTTGTATCGGCCGACTACTATATTTAACATTTTTACGTTTAATTAAGAATTTTTAATGTAAAGTACCTACAAGGGGATGTATTCTAAACCATAACATTGGGTCGTTTTATAATAAAATAAAAGCGATTCACGCTTACCTTTTTTAAACGTTTGTTTTAAATGCTCAAATGCTCACAATTGATCATTTAAGGGATCATATTTCAAAAGGGGATTTGAATTTTTAATTAACGTTTTTTTTTTCTTCTTATTGTTTTCAGGATCGTGTGGTAAGCCATTAAATACTCATAAGTATATTTTAACAACAATCTTGTGTCATAAGTATCTTTATAATTCATTTAGATTGATTATAATACTACCTACCCTTTATTTACACGTTAGTGGTTAATTGATTTGGGGCTGTTCATGGATCAGAAGAACCTTCTCTGTTCTCTGGGCATTATATTTATCTTCAATAACTACGATGCTGACAACGTCTAGTCGCTCGGATAGAACCTTGAAGGGGAAGTTGTAATTTTCATGAAAGGCATTACTACTCTTTAAACTGTTATAAATAGTTCCATACCGACTAGAAACACTGATTAATATCTTGTTTGATGTATCAAGAAGAAGTGGTGTTAGGTTTTCGAGAAACAATACTTCTCGATGTTTTCGTACACTACCTAGAACACGAGTCTGGATCTCCACCTTTTAATTTCTACAACATAAGGACAATAGCTAGATCATCTGCATCCTGATCCATTTGATTGTCCACAGAAGATATCACGAAATATAATTATACATGTAAAATAACCACCTTTCTAGGCTCATGACCTAATCTTAGAGAGAGAGAATAAAAGTTAATTATTTGTTTTAAATAATAAAAAAGCAAATGAATTAAATTTTATTTTGCTATTTATTATGATAATGTTTTCCAGTTATTCCCACCACTGAGGGTCCAGGCGTCGCTGCAGCGAATATTACCACCATAACCTTGGCTACTGTGTTTACTATCCTGCTTGTCTTTATCATCGTCGTGATAGCCCTTTGTTACGTCAATTATAACAAACAACTTGAAGCTGCTCAAAGAAAACTCGAAGACAAGCGAGCCCAGGACACGGTTGACGGCAGGTACAACGAAGATGACGACATATTCGGTGAAAGAGGCAAAGCTCCACCACATCTTCGCATCACTTTCCCCGACTACACCAAGAGGGCTATTAAGAATGGTAAAGTCGGTGTTCAGACATCGTATGGTTTTGATGATTGGGATGGTGTAGATATGATTTATAGCAGTGGTCTGGAACCTGTCACGCCGTCTGGTGTATATCCTAGAACTATGGATGATAGAGCCAATAAAGAAGAACGGATGTCATGTGACAGTGCTCTTGGAATGGAGGTAATTTTAGATGCACCATAATCTAATTGGGAGTGCAATAATCTCATCCATATTTGGAAGCCTGGGATTCTCGTCGTAGGTTACTGCTAACAAAAAAAACAAAAAAAAAACAATAGCTAAATATATTTTTTATTGGAAACATTGATTTTGTAGGACGTGTTTGTATTTAAGATTTTTAGTTTATTAGTTATTCTCTAATTCTTATAGAGCATTACAGATGTATTTTGTAAGAGGTAAATATGTCATGACAACCCTCTAGGCCATCGGAGGGCTTAGATATTAAATGAATTAGAGTACCTTTGCCACTTAGTAATAAAGCTATAAAATGGATAATCGATACATTGTTTATTATAGACAATCGGGATTATCTTGTCAAAACTTCAAATACCAATAATTTCTCTCAGAATAAAGTAATTTGACTGAAATTTTCAATATATTTAATTTTGATTATTCATTTTTAAACTAAATCTAAATCTAAATCTTACATATTGCCACATTAAGCAACACACCCACAGCAAGGTTGTCGATCGTGTTTCCCTTAACTCTTATTCAGCATCTTTTGTCTTTTTTTAAGCAAGTGTTCGTACATTCTCATTGCTAGTTAGAAAAGCACTTTTCATCTACCTCATATTTTTCCAAACAGGTCTTCATGAATGTGACTTGGTATCAGGTGTTTTAGAAAAAGCAAGCATACCCTGGTTCGGGCACGTCACGCGTCTCCAATTTTAACCTACGTTTTATGATTATTGGCATTTATGAAATGAGATTTGGCAGTATTAAATAGTGAAACTCTTTATATCTGGAAAGATAACATTTTTTTATGATTATTTTTTTATAATTCGAATGATTTCAATCAAATTTATAAATACATGTAAAGATAGTATTTGCTCAACGCCTAGTTATTTTGTAGTATCCATTAGACCATAGCTAATATTTAAGAGATTAGAATATCTATTATTATATAGTAACGAAGATTTAACTGATCGTTGTTCAGATTAAATATACAAGCTTTGATTAATCAAGCCCGGTATCATATTACCAACAAGTTCAGTATTTATGTTTTAGTGTGGTATATTTTATGTATTGTGTATATTTGGTTGTTATGTTTATATATTGTATACATGTCTGTGTTACAGGAAGATTATATACCACCTCTTGCTGGTACACCTGAAGTTAGAACAAACGTAAGTAAAATTGTATGTTAAATGGAACCATTGAAGTACTTGCTCTTTCTGTATTTAATGGTATGAAATGAAATGAAATTGTGGTTTAACGCCCTACTTCTCTGTTCCGAGTGGCCTGATGAAGTCGGGGTATTTGATTGTATACTGACGTAACATACAACCGCTGTGATTCAGTAAGGAGGTCCCGGATTTGACCGAATACTTCCTGATTTCCCGACACGGAACAGTTTTTATTCGTTCGGATGATCCAAAAAACGAGGACGCGTGTACACATTGGTGTGAACGTAAAAGGACCTTTAACAGTTGAAATTGAGTTGCTGTCCAGGTATAATTCCCCTTATAGGACACTGTATTGCATAAACCCGTCTTCATTAGCCCGGTAGAAGGGGGTTAAACCCCATTTCATTCAAGGGATTCGACTTAAGACTCGGTTTCCAATTGTTCTATGCAACTGAGAATTCAAGTATGTTAATTCGTTTGGAAGAGATTTTTCTTTTCAAATAAATTGGGTTTAGTGTCTTGCTTTATACACAATACAGTGTCTTATATGGCGAATTTACACCCAAACAACGGCGCTACGGCCTACTTTTATTTCGATTTACATCGATCAGGGTATGATTAACATGCTTCCAATAGTATACACGGTCCTCAGTTTAATCCGAAAGACTAGACGCTAATTGGGGCATTTTAAAACTGAAAATAGTCAAATGTAACACAAATAAAAGATTGTCTCTATTTTCAGCACGAAGTAAAAGCCTTTAGAAAGGTTCACGGTCGACAACAATTTAAAAGCGAAGCAGCTTTGGTTAACGATAGCAACCCAATGAATCTGGTGAAGAAGATCAAGAAACTTGCCAAGAAGAAGAAGCGAAAGCCTTCTGAGATATACCAATCACCGGATCCAGTACCTCAATCTGTACGCTCTGATCCGAACTATGTCATGGGGATTGGTAATGGTGCTGAAGCGGACAGAGGACGAGATGCCAAACGTCGAGACACTCATCCAGACGTAAATTCTTCAAGTCGAGTTCAACCCATGCCCAACACCAACTTTGCATACGATGACCAGGTCGACAAGTCCGCCATACAGTCTGGTAAGCGATTTAAGCAAGATGAAGACGTATCCAAGTTATTGGCGGGAACAGTGTTAAATGACGTTGATGCCTCATCTCGTACAAATCACCAACAAAGACGACGAAAACCATCCAAGGTATTTATGACTTTCCCTGATAGACAATGCACGAAACGTTGGAAATAAAACATAGATAAAACATACATGCATAAAATAGGCTACTACGATGGAATCCCAAGGTGTTACCCTGCAATTACACCCCCACCCCAAATGAGCTCAGTATCACAACTGTTAACATTTATTAACAAGATCTGTTTAGATACTGGCCTTCACAGACCCCGTAAATGGATGATAGTTTTTCTCGTTGTGTATGTGTTTGAGTATGATGCTTCAAACCGAAGAAATCTCAGATATTTTAATGAGTTGTGGTTTGAACTGTAGCCGTTTATCCCACAGTATCCAGTGGAGTAATAAATATTGAATAATAAATATATCCATATGTATTGAACATCAACTTTTAACACGAGTGCTGCGTACTTAAATGATTTCCTCAATAATTTGTCATAGGTCACACTATAAACTAATTTCCGGGTACAAACACAATATTGGCTTGATAAAGACCGAAGAACCTTCGTCGAACATTGATATATTTCTATTTGTTTTCAGGGCGTCCACTATTCCCCTCGATCTCCCGGGGTCATCATGGAAGATCTAGAAGACCAAGTATCCAAGAAATATACAGAGGGTTATTTGTCTCCTGTTGAACAAGAGCACCCGGACTCCAACGCCGCTAATTCTGTTAATAATAAAGCAAATGCTTATATCTATACTGAAGATGACAAGGTAGGAGACATTTATACAATTAAAATTTGTTTAGATCAGGTTGATTTTCCAAATGATAGCAAATGAAATAAGGTGTTCCAGAAAAGGCGTGTCCTGTGCACGATACCCTTTACTACTAGATGGAACGACTCTTTGGACGTAGACCTCTGAATCCGAAGCGTTTTGACAGAAAATAACGTAGGTGCCAAAGGTCACCAGCAGTCACTATCCCAGTGATTTAAACTGTGTTAGTCGCCTGAACTTTTTAAACTAGTGGTACCAGGTGCTCTAGACTGCACACACATACCCTGTCTTTTGCATGACACCCTTACAGTTAATCGAACAACGGTTAGAAACTGTATCTTGGTAAGCAGAAACTAATTGGTAGAAAATAGCATCGAGAATAAAGGTTACAATATATTACAAGTCGTCGAGGCTCTGGAATAGCTGAAAAGAAAATTTGGGATTTGGGGAATAGCTGAAAAGAACATTTGGGATTTGGTGCAAAATCCGAGGTCCACCATTGTACATTTTGTCTTAGATCTAAAAAAAAAACTGGCAGTTTCGATTTAAGCGTAGGCCGTAACACTACTTACCGGACAGAGTTCGCATCGCTTTGCACACGTAACACCTTCTTTCAAATTTAGAATTCTGAAAACATTTGTAGGTTTATGAGTTACTTCCATATGTACTATTAAAATCCGCTATTGGATAGACCTCAGAAATTATTTAGCTTTTTAAGCATATCTTTAATTGTATTCAATCATGTTTTGCTTTTAACTTTTTCACAAAAAAATAATAAGACTCCTTTTAAAAATTATTTTTAGAATGGAACCAGAGATAGGGTTTCCGTAACACCTGGAATGAAAATTCGACGATATGAAAACAGTGGTGATGGAATGGATCCTAATGAATCCTCGACATTATCGGCCAGGAATCAGTCCAACTATATTCAACGTCTGAACAGGAAAACACCCAAGAGAATGAGTTCAAACCGACTTACTAAGAGTGCTGGGTCTCCATCTTTACCGGAACTACAGCGTCGTGGTATGACTGATGACAAGTACAGGAAATTACTCGAAGAATTATATCCCGACAAGAAATATTTCGATTATACCAAAGGTTCGTTCAAATTTTACATTTTGATTAAAAATGGTTTAGCATATGTGATTTTGGATAAAGTAAAAATTTATTTTTAAAACTGTGTATTTTAATCCATGTATTATGACAATTGGCATTTTCCGATTTGTATTGATCTATATTATAGTTATCGGAATTCTCCGATATATTTACCTTGTCAATCCCGTGTGCACCACCCCTGGCAAATGAGAAAATCCCAAGGATCCTTGTTGATCAAGACCGGGATTCGAACCCGGAGCATTCTGATTGTGAGTGCACTGTTCTCATCTCACAATCACCGCAGCTACTGTATCTTAAATATATACTTAGGACAGTGATTTGTCAGTGAGGGATGACAATACATGTAATTCGTGTGACTTGAGTTAACTTTTTTCCTGATTGCAGGGTTGGGTGGCTGGATGATCTAAGGTGTGCGCTTTAGGTCATAAAATAGTGGATTTTCTCCGGATCCTCTGGTTTTCTCCCACGAGCGATTTATTGAAATAAATTTGAACCATATGTTACTCCCGAAATGACCTAGTTTGACCTAGTTTGTGTCGAGTTGGCGTTAAAACACATTTCCTCCCTCTCTTTATTATTATTATTATTATTGTTCGATTTATATAGCGCTTCATTACACGTGAAGTGTTTCTAAGCGCATCTTCCCGTATTCAAGTTGAAATTTCAATCATATGCTTAGATTAGATTGACTTGACGATATAAATCTCATTGATTTTAACAAATCTTTAGTTTGCCTTGAACTTACCATTGTAATTAGTTTTTATACATATATTTTTACAGATTCTGCGGGTCCATCTGAAGAATATCTTTCCAACAAAACCAATGAAGGTTTGGAATATTTACACGGATGTGCTGAATATTGGGAGAATCACGAATCTCCCCAGAGACCACAATCAACACCGTCTAAATCAAAAGGATCAAAATCTGCAAGAGGACAGACAACAACTAGAATTAGTTCCGGCTTGTCGCGAAATCACAGTATTCATACACTGGAAGTGACATCCGAGGGATTTCCTCCCAATGTATCCTAAATAAATACTACTTATTTTGTATTCTCTGAAGACATTTTAAATCACAAGATATAGTGTGGACGAGACATTAGCCCCATTCTTTTGGGGGAAAACTGTGCGTTGAATTTGTTTTTTATTTCTTATATAAGGACAGATTAATTTTGAATACAAACATTTCAGTCACAAAATATATTAAATACCTTAAATTGGGGTATACCGTTCATGCACTTTTGGATATTATCAATTATTTCACGTCTTTACCAACGCTAAAATGTACTCAAAATGTTTATTTAATTCACCACATCGATACAGAATTGTTCAAAGAACAAACATGCTAATTTTCATGTCTATCGGACTTGAAGTGACGACGCTATCGAAGAGCGTCACCACAAGAACAAGAAGAACAAGATGAGTAGCTGTTAGCAACCAGTTCCTGGTCCAAAAAGTACATCAATGGTAGATACTGTTGTTGTTTGGATCCAATTGGATTAAAAACATGAGACTCATCAATACAGAATCAACACTTACTTATATATAACACTGATTTGTTTATAGCGTTTCAATTAGACCATTTATGGAATGGTATTCGTCTAGAGATTCAATTTTCACAATATTATAGTTTACAACGGATTTAAAATCACTCAAATGATGACCAGCGGCCCTGGATTATGTTTTCCCATTTTTGGCAAGTGTATTTATTCCTTAAAACAAGATGCGTTATAGAAAAAATGGTGTAACAGGTTTACGATTTGTTTAAATTACTCGGTTTCTGATCAAATATAATAAAATGATAAGTCAAACCTACCTGTTAAACCATATTAATTATGATATTCAAACTATAATGACCTGCTAAAGGATTAACCTACGAGATTATCTATGATACATGTAACAATTCCCCAAAAGATTTCATTGTATATTAAATATATATATGTACATAGATCTATAATCCATATTATTCAATACTATATTTACATGTACATATTATACTTATCATATTTATTATTTGTATATAATAATCTACCTGGCAGTAACGGTTTCTAGTATTGTTTGTATATGTGTAAAGGTGTGCATTATTATAATATATTGTTTAGGATTTACCTGTACAAAATAAACTCTAAAGCCTTTGAATGTCCGATTGTTTTGGGTTTTTCTTTTGTTGTTTTTTAATGAATTACCACAAAAATGAACTCCAAAGACTTTGATTTTCGTATTAATATATATGCCTCTATATGTTCTTGGTGGATAAATGTACGACTGTTCCGGTGATGGACTACTGTCCCTACTACATTAGTCTTAGGAGGTTTTTTTTTGTATGTGATTTTAAAATACAAATTGGGTGATCTGTATTAAACAATAAACGGATTTGATATCTTCATCTGATATCCTACATAATAATCATGTACTACAGTACAAAAAATAGTGTAATCCACAATAACAGTCACATCTTGAAAGGCAAGAATTATTAAGTACATTGATATATAATGGGTGTATTCTAGGTTTGAGAACAAGGGCATTGTTTTCCCCACATAGTTCCTGGTTAAATGCACAGCCACTAGGTTAAAACAAATCAAAGAGAAAGATAATTCTTGAAATTTTATTTAATATCATTTCTTTCTTACCCCAGTCAATAACAAAGAATGCAAATTATTGGGACTTATTGGTTGAGATAGCGCTAACTCACCTTGAAGGTTCGCGGGCTCCGATATGTCAGAGAATAGAAAAGCGTATATTCGTTGGAATGGGTGCATAAACTAGGTTCCTGTGGCAGCACGTTACGGATCCTCTCTATGAGGGTTGGAAATGAAATAAAGGCACAAATGTATTGCATATGCCGGTATTCCGGCTAGTGCAGAAAAGTGGAGGACGTTAAACCCCAATTCATTTTGTAACAAAACAAAGAACATAACAAAAACATCCAATGTATTGATAAATGTATTGATGTAATTCCTTCAAAATATTTCAAAGTTAGACATTCCTTCACTTGTATATAGTAATAAGATCAACAACTATTTGATTAGTGTAGAAGATGAGATTAATCAAATTCGGATGTTAATCTGTTTTTCGGGGTGGGTGTCTGTCTACTCCCGTAAGTCAACAGCTAAAGAATATTATAACAATTTTGTAAAATACATAAACATATCTATTAAAAAGCAAATTTAACATGATAGAGTTAAACGAATAACACATCAGGATACAACCTGTTTATTTTATTCAATGACGAGATTCATTTGAAATTAAACGTTGAATTGAATATGAATTTCTTTTACAAAGTCTATTTTAGTATAAAATTTTCAATATAAGATTTAATCGTTTAAAATACGACCTAATATTAAATTTATAATTTAAAACAAAGCTATAAATATAAAAGTTTATATTAATAGATAAATGGAGTTGACTGCGTAAAGAACAGTAAAATAGAGTAGGTAGACCACCATTAAAAGTAATGCTATTCAATAAGCGGGCGGAGGAGAAAACCGCTGGACTTTTAACGGGGCACCGCCAATGGTTCACTGGTGTTTAATGGCGGGCTAGACAGTGTATACAGAAAATTATCACGAATATTTGAATTGTTTATTGTCTTGGTAACTCGTTTTACTGGCGGCAAATAGATTCGTCACACTCAGTGCATGCACTATTAAATTTTATAGTTTAAGTGAAATTTTGTTTAAATAAGCGGAATGGGCCATGGACAGTCACTTATCTGGTCACTACACGATCTCATACATCAGCTAAACAGACTGTTAGGACTCAACATGCAGGTATGTTTTTTTTAATTATCCAGCGTCATGTGAAACGCTTCCCGTTTCGTGTTTTGGGTTTACGAATTGTCTCCCTTGTTTTGAGTTGTCTTCTGTGTGAGATAATCCCATATCATTCATTACAGGCGAGGGATTGCAAAGCGGAAGAACGCTTTCTGTCAGCCTTCAGATCCGTTTACCTAATTTGATAATACGTTTATTACTTGCAATGAACGTACGTGGTGTCGTCTGTTTATGTGTGCTGCAGTCTCGGGTACCTATTATTCTATGGCGAAAACAGATCGCAATGAAATTAAATTTTCAGAAAGGGAACAGAAAAGAAATCCGTTTCATTGTGATATCACCAAAGATTTAATATTGCTTTATGGTTAAGAGGAGTCACGGTGGCTCAGCGAGTATGACGTTGGCTCATTAACCTTGAGGTCCCGGGCTCGATCCCGGTGTTGGCCGGACTAGAGACAGCATATAGTCGTCCGGTGGGACTAAAAATAGAGGCCCCGTGTACACTTTGACGTGCACCGCTTTCGAGGCAAACTGTCCCTATTAGCAGAACAGCAGGACGTTAAACCCCATCTCATTTTCATTTATTGTTAAGACTTTGATATTTTACTCCCATATACATACAGTAACTGTGAGATCATTAAAGAGTTCACGGTTATGGGTTACAGGGATTTAACAGATAATACGTTATGTACATGAGTCCACGAAGTTTACAAATATTTGTAAATTGCCCTGCAGTCGCAATGTCTGAACGAAATGGGGTGTAACTAACCGTGCCATGCATAGTACTAGGAGGAAAAGTTTGTGGAATTATGTCTGTCAAAGGTTCTTTTATGTGGGTTTTTGTCTCATCTGAAAGACTAGACACTGTGCGTTGACTGTACATGATTTTATTAATACGGATCAATAACAATATTTCTCTGCTTTAAGAACGCTATCTTAGGATGATTAATTAAAGCTATTTTAAATTGGGGCGGGGGGGATCAGAATGGTTAGCGCGTGCGCGCTGTATCACAAGGTCTGATATTGAGTCATCTGGCGTGGTTTCGTTTCCCCGGTTGTACGTGATAAGGAGTAGGGTCTCCTGTCTAACCTCGTGGGTTTTCGCCGGGTCCTCCGGTTTACTTCCACTGCTAAAGACTCCTGCGCTCAAGCGAAATGACCTAGCTTGTGTCGAGTGGACGTTAACCACCACCCCTCTCTCTCTCTCTCTCTCTCTTTCTCTCTCTCTCTCTCTATTTCAAATTGATAATCAATTAATAAATGTTTTATTTTATTATTTTTACAGGTTTTCGTTATTTTCGCTGTCTGTATGACAGTAGCCGCTTCCCAATACAATGATGGAAAATTCGGAAAAGGATTCGCCGCTGTCGGGGTACTTGGAAATGGTTTTGGAAACATTGGATTCGGTGGATACGGTAAAGCATACGGACACGGGCTTGTTGGACATGGAGACGGACACGGAGTTGGACATGGAGATGGACACCGAGTTGGACACGGAGTGGCTGGAAACGGGCTCGGACACGGTATTGTTGGTGTTGGAAATGGTTTCGGACATGGCATCGTTGGTAACGGTATTGGTCATGGCGTAGTAGGAAACGGATATGGACACGGAGTAGGAAAAGTTGGAATTGTTGGTAATGGTATCGGACATGGTATTATCGGTAATGGTCTTGGTCATGGTGTTGGTCACGGTATCGTAGGCAACGGAATCCAACACAGTACTGTCGGAAACGGAATTGGTCACGATATTGCTGGTGTTGGAAATGGTTTCGGACACGGCATCGTTGGTAACGGTATCGGTCACGGTGTAGTAGGGAACGGATATGGACACGGTGTAGGAAAGGTTGGAGTTGTTGGTAATGGTATCGGACATGGTATCATCGGTAATGGTCTTGGTCATGGTGTTGGTCATGGTGTTGGTCACGGTATTGTTGGTGTTGCTAACGGTATCGGCCATGGCGTAGTAGGAAACGGATATGGATACGGAGTAGGAAAGGTTGGTGTTGTTGGTAAAGGAATCGGACGCGGAATCGTTGGTAATGGTCTTGGTCATGGTGTTGGTCACGGTATCGTAGGCAACGGAATCCAACATGGTATCGTCGGAAACGGAATTGGTCACGGTATTGGACACGGTATTGTTGGAAACGGTATTGGTCATGGCATCGCTGGTAACGGAATCGGACACGGTGTCGTTGGAAAGGGAATCGGATACGGACGTGGCATCATTGGTGCTGGCAGAGTCGGTGTCATCGGTAATGGAATCAGACATGGAATCGTTGGAGACAATCATAAAGCCTACAACGGACCATACAACTACAACAGCTACAACAATGATAATTACAACGGATACAACAACGGCCACGGCAACAACGGATACAACGGTTACAACAATAACGATTACAACAATGGCCACAGCAACAACGGATACAACAACGGCCACAGCAACAACGGATACAACAACGGCCACAGCAACAACGGATACGGAAAGGGACACAACAACTACAATGGTTATCCATCCAACAACTACCAAGGTTACCAACCTTATTACAACAACTATTGAAGGCATGTAGTTTGTTTCTATAAATAGATTCGCCATTAAATGGCATTTTTTTAACATACACAGTTTTACTTTTCATGCATTTATGCATATAAAATGAATAAATGATATTTTGGTTTACTTTAAAACAAATATTGAGTGGGTTTGTTTTCTGTTGTAATTTGTAAGAACTGTCCTGGAAGAATGCTCAATAGAAAAGTACGCGAAGAACTTGTTAAGTATGTTAGCGTACAGATGCACGAAGCGCACATAACGCTTCACATTTTAATATGCATCTCTTTTTAACTAGAGATATGATAGCAGGAGCGAGTTCAGGAATTTAAGCAGATTGGGGTGGGGTCAAAGATGGGGACAAAGTCAAGTTTGTCGTGAGGTCTATATACAACACTAAATATATATAAAATCTTCTTAATAGAAAATGCTAAACTGGATCTGTGTATTGTAGAAACCCTTGTTAGACTCTTATCCGGAAATGCATGTTATTTAAATATAAATGTACTTAACATGCTTGTAAACATTGACGTAAATAAAGGTATTTTTTAGAAAAGAATTTGATAAAATTAGAAGCTCCG